TTTCTGGTTACAAGAATTAGAAAACTCACTGTTTCTCTTTCTGACTTGGCTGCCAGGAAGCTCAGTGCTAAACTAAGGTTTCATTAACAGTAAATGCTTTTCTAGTTTGTTTGTTTAAAGATTTTATTTATTTATTCATGAGAGACACAGAGAGAGGCAGAGACACAGGCAGAGGGAGAAGGAGGCTCCCTGTAGGAAGCCCAATGTGGGACTGGATCTCAGGACCTCCAGATCAACCCTGACCTGAAGTCAGGCCCCCAACCTCTGAGCCACCCAGGTGCCTCATTTTCCTAGTTTTTAAGTTCATGGTTGTCTATTTCTATTTTATTATGTCAATGTATTTAAATTCCATATATATGAAAAGAAGCAGGAAGCTCACTGATTTCAAAAAGAGTTTCATTTCAAACCATTACTGTGCACCCACCACCCATTAGGCACTACTCTAGAGGATGGAGATATAGTGAGTTAAAAGATTATTTCCTTAAGAAAAGTGAATATATCTACCTGTACCCTTAAAGACAGGGTGGGTGGGGTAGAGTGGGGAGTGGGAAGGGAACAAACTTTCCACCAAACCAACTTTAAGAAAGCAGAAAAAAGAATTTACTTGAAAGAAAAGCCCACCAACATCAATTCAACCCTCACAAAGAAGAAGTTGATAGAATGAGTGTGGCTATCTTTCGACTGTTGCTGACAGGGGTATGGGATACTAGTTACTTAATTCTACAACCTTCTCCTCAAGGGTCCAGCAATAGGAGCAGCTTTCCTTCTCAGGCCTGTGCTAAGAACTAATAACACCATTCATGACATAAAAGCTTTTAAATCAATGATCCCCGTAATAACAGAGATCGACTGAAACATTCCCAACTTCCAAGAGAGGGGGCTTTGGGTCTAAGAGTTTCTACCTCGGAATTTTTGATGTCACAAAAAAGTTGCAACTATTGGGTAAGCCAAGAAAGATGATGCATCTTATGTGAGCAGGCAAGAGTGATTGTTAGCTGGTAGAGCAGTCCCCTGCTATAGAGGACTTCAAGGTTGGTGGGCCTGCGCTTGCTGTTGCTTTCTGCTTTGTGTTACTTTACTGGCTTGCTAAGTAAGCCAGTAGGGTCCGTGCCCTGTCCCACAGGACCCTAGGTTGGCCTGCCTTCTGGCAGCCTGATGCTGAGAAAAGTATTAAAATTCACAAGGATCTTGCTCGAGGCCTCCACTCTCAGGGTGTCGCTTCTGCACACACTTTAAAGCACTGCCAGCTCGCAACAGCCTTGCAGTCACGGAGCGCAGCCCAACAAAGCTGCCCTCAGACCCAGTGCTTGTCACCTGCCCCAGCAACTGTGAATAGACTACCACTTCTCAGAGCAACCTGTTTGTCTTCCCTTTGCAGAGAAAGCTTGTTAAGTATTTTAATATATATTTCAGAGAGGCCAACATTGGACTTCTCAATACGAACCATGTGAGTTAGGCTTCTCAGACTAACACAGTCTTTACGTAGCAGAGCTGCCATAACCTCACTGAGAACCAAGTTAACCTTTTTTTTTTTTTTTTTTTTTAAGTGCTGTCATGCCTTGGTGAGTTTCTAAGAGAAGCCAAACACGGGAATGGCAGACACTTTTTAAGTAATCATAAGGAACATCTCAAAGAATTCAGAGAGGTCACACTTAGCAAAGTGTGTGACAACTGATCTTGAAACAGTAGGGCACTCTAATGAAGAGAAAAGCAGACCAAGATCTTTTCCTTTCCTTTCCTTTCCTTTCCTTTTCTTTTTTTTAAATCCCGGTTTCCTTCTCTAAATGGTGCGAGAATAATTTTGGGATTACAGGCAAGTAATCACTCCATCAATATGTGCAAGAAAACTCAAATTTTGTGGGACGATATAAAACTAGGTCAAGATCTCCCAAACACAGAAACACTGGTCCATAAAATTGTAATTTAAACAGCTGCAAAACTGAATGGGTAGAAGAGTTGGGGAAGGGGATCAAGGCCATTGGGTCTGATGTTTCCAGATCTTGGCATTGGACATCTCACTCCCACCCTTCAAGGGAGCTAAATCACAGAAGCCCGAAACATGGGCGGGAGGAGCAATTTCGGGAAGAGGGCAGATCCTCCTCCTCCTCCTCCTCCTCCATTCCTTTTAGATGCTCCTCTTGAGCTCTCTCTCCGAAGGGCATTTCGTTTCTAGGAAAGTGTCTCCTATCTTTTGGTCTCATTATCTCGATGTACACATCTTTGAAAAGGAAAGAGCCGTGGTTTGCTCTGTGCCCGGACGTCTTTTCCTCTGCCCAAGCTCTTAGTAAGCCTTCAACCAACTTTTGCTGAAAAGGATGTCGCTGCGGGGCGTTGAGGTTTGAGATCCGCTGCGCTCCCAACCTCTTTTTCTTTCTCTCTCCATAGGCCACCCGCCTCCATCCCCCTGGGTCCCCAGGACCATCCACAACCGTTTCTAAGTCAACCCGGGGCAGTTTAAAGAGTTTCCTCCCTCTGCTTCTTCCTCTGACTGGAGAGTTAACTTTCAGGGCAACAGAGATCAGACCAGACGCCTAAGCAGGGGATCCTCAGATGCAATCCTCGGGAGGAATAAAAGACCTAATTGAAAAATCCCACGCTGCCTAATTGCCATTAAGTATTTTGCAGATAAGGGAGCATATTACTCTTTAGGTGGTGTTCAAAACACCGAGGTCTTTTGCCCTGTGCATTCTTGTTAATTTAAAGGACTTACACAGCGCTTACCATGTGCCGGCACTGCTCCAAACGCCTTTTAAAAATATGACCCTCTTCGCTTAAAAAAATATTTTTAAGTGACATTAAAACCGCGTGTGCCTTTCGAACGTCCCCGCTATATTTTTCTTTATAACACGTTACAGCAGTTAAGTCTCCGAAGACAAATATGGAAAAATTATAACCAGTTGCTACTTTATTGCCAGCACACCATTCCCCCCTCTGCAATCTTTCACAATTAGAGTAATCAGATGCACTAATACAGTGAGAATGAACTCATAATCCCCCACCCCCGTGAAGGTCTCGGTTTTTGCCTCCAGCGTCTGGAAGCGCGGGGTTTATTCGCTCGCGTGGCAAACGTTAGGTGCACCTGTAAGGCGTTCACTTTCAGAAAAAGGTGCAGCCCTCACTTGGAAGTCGTGAAGGTCGAGCTCGCGCCAGGCCCGTGCAGCGCGTTCACCTGTGGCCCCAGCGGGCGGGCGGCTGGCACGTCCTCCCCGCAGGTGCGACCCAGGGCTGCGCACCCGGGGCTGCAGGATCCAGAGCTGGGGCTGGGGGGGCCGCCCGGGAGCCGAGACCCGGAGACCCACGCGGGCTGGGCACCCACCCCGAGGCAGGCAGGCGGGCAGGCAAGCTGGGGGGTCACCGCCCCCCGCCTTCCCCGCGTCCCGAGCTGACCTGGCCCAGCCCACGCGGGCCCGCCGGGGGCCCCCGCCGACCGTGCGCTGGGCCCGAGGTTAAGTTTCAGAAGTCAGGATGCAACGTTTTGGGTTTCTGTTCACACGGTCATTGCAGGCACCGCGGTGGGGACCGCACAAAAGAGCCGAGGGCTCGTGGGGAAGGGGGTTTTGTTGTTTTAATGAGGGCTTAGTAGGCTGGCTGCTAGTCCTGCCCCCCACCCCACCCCCGGGCCCCGCGGTTGCCCGCCGCATCCCTTCCTCTCCTCCTCCTCCCCCTCCCCGCCCCGCGCCGGCCTGGTGTGGGGACAGCAGGGAGTGTCAAAGGGACGCCCTGGGCACATCCCTCGAAAATCAGGAATCCATCCGGGGCGGAGGGTTGTGATGTGATGAGTGACAGAAGGGTCTGGCCCGCGAAGGCGCGGAGGTGTCCCGGCGCAGCAAGGCTCCCTCCGCCTCCGCCTCCGCCCCCGCCCCGGGCGGCCCGCGCCTCCGGCACCGGCGAGCGCACCCCGCCTGCCGCGCTCGTGCAGCTCCGCTCCGCTCCGCTCCGGCCATCGCCGCGGCCCCTGCAAGCCCCGCAGCTCGCGGGCGGAGCCGCTGGAAGACACGTGTCGGAAGCCCTCGTGCCGCCGCCCCCGCCGTCCCCGCCGCCCGCCGCGCCGCACGCGGGCCGCGAACCCGTGCTCGGCGGCGCGCGCCCCGCTCCGGGCGCCGCGGGACGCAGGCCGCTGCGGCGGCGCGCACCGGGGCCAGCCCGGAGAGCTCGCCGCCGGGGAAAACGCCTTTAAAACTGCGTCCTGAAATACCTGCGTCCCGGGGTCTAGGGTTTGGCGCCACCGGCGCGGACGCGGCTGGCTCACCGTCCACCCCGCGGAGGGCCCTGCGCACAGCCCTGTGGGCGGGACGTAAAAAGCTGATTTGGAGCAAATGCAACGTCACGGGGCTGCAGAGCTGCGACCCGCCGACGGCCGGCGGTGAATTAAGGACCTGCGGGGGGAGGGGGGCTAACGCACGTCCTGTTCTGGCCGCCGAAGCAGCCTCGGGAGCTGCCCGGGAGAAAAGCGATTTTGATTTAAGCTTTTTTTTTTTTTTTCTGAACCCCGCCCCCCCCCCCCCCGAGGGCCAATGTGACCGTCGGGGTCAGGCCGCCGCAGCTTTGGTGCAGACGGGGCACAGCCGCGGCGCCTCCCCGCGTCGGTGCACGCCCGCTCACACGCGGCCACGCGCTCGGGGTTAAGCTTTAAACCCGGGACGGGAACTTCTGGGTCAGACGGCGCAGGGGGCGGCGGCGGAGGGCGGCGACCCCGGGGCGTCCTCAGCCCCGCGCGCACGCTCGCCGCCGCCTCTCCCGCCCGCGCGCGCCGCTCCCGGAGCCGAGCTGCGCGGCCGCGTTCCCACGCCTCGGCAGGAGGCCCTCCGCGGGCATTGGCCAGCGCGGCCCCGCCCCCTCCGGCCGCAGCCAATCGCGGGCCACGCCGGCCCCGGGGAGGCGGGATCCGGCGGGGTGGGCGGGGCGGGAGGGCGCGGGGGGGCCCCGCCCGCGCGGGGGGGCGTGGCCGGCGCCGGTTCTTGCGGCTGAGCGCGGCGGCGGCGTGGGAAAGAGCCGCGAGGAGCTGACCGCGCCGCCGCGGGAGCCGCGCCTGCCCGGGCCCGGAGCGGGCGGGAGGGAGGAGGCGGCGGCCGCCGGGAGGGCGCTGCGCCCCGCGCCGCGATGAAGCGCCCGTGCGAGGAGACGACCTCCGAGAGCGACATGGACGAGACCATCGACGTGGGGAGCGAGAACAACTACTCGGGGTGAGCGCGGGCGCCCGAGGCTCCTCCGCGCCGCGGCCGAGCGCCGCCGGGGAAGCGGGAGCGCCGGGCGCCCGGGGGGCGAGCGTGCGCCGGGGTGCGGCGGGGGCCGGGGCTCCGGCCGGGGGTGGGGCGCGGGGGCCGGGGCCGCGGCCGGAGCGCGGCGCGGGAGTGGGGGGGGGTCCCCGCTGTCAGCGCTGCGGCGCCCCCGCCCCCGGCTGTGCGGGCGCTCCCGGGGCCCGCCGCGCGGAGACCCGGTGCACCGAGTGTTGGGATTTTTTTTCTTTTTTTCCCGATTTTCCGGGAGACTAAAAAGAGGACTCCGCTTTGGGAGAAATGAAAAGCAATTTGCAATTTTAAGACTTAAGGATGTTTGCGGTTTTAAGACGTTGAGGATGGTTGCGATTTTAAGACGTGAGGATCTTTCCGATTTTAAGGCGTAAGGATTTTTGCAATTTTAAGATGTGAGGATCTTTGCGATTTTAAGACTTGAGGATGTTTGCGATTTTAAGACTTGAGGATCTTTCCGATTTTAAGACGTAAGGATCTTTGCGATTTTAAGACTTCAGGACGTTTGCAATTTTAACACTTGAGGATCTTTGCAATTTTAAGACTTGAGGATTTTTGCAATTTTAGCACTTGAGGATTTTTGCAATTTTAAGGCGATTTTAAGGCGTAAGGATTTTTGCAATTTTAAGACGTAAGGGTTTTTGCGATTTTAGGACGTTAAGGATTTTTACGATTTTAGGACGTTAAGGATTTTTGCGATTTTAAGACGTAAGGATTTTTGCAATTTTAAGACTGGAGGATTTTTGCAATTCCAAGACGTAAGGATTTTTGCAGTGTTAAGACTTACGGATTTTGCAGTGCTCAGACTTTTCCTGGTTGACTTTGCGTGAGCGGGCTGACGGGCGGGTGAGTGACAGACGCTGGCCGGGGCCGCTCGGGGCGTGGATCACCTCTCAGGGCTGCTGGTCCTCCAGTCTGCAAAAGATCGGGGTCGGGACCGCAGAAGCCAGACGTCCACTTTCCAGCGACGGAGGGAGATTACCGAGGCATTTTAATGCCAAGGCGGGTCAAACGATAATTGCCTCTAATTGGCATCCCCGCAAGCTGCTTAATTATTTATCTGCAGCTGCCACTCAAAGAGCAAAATTCTTGCTACCTGCGGAAGACTGGTTTTATCTCCGCCTCGCTGTTCTGAGCACAGACGGACCAAAGTGTGAAAGCAGCAGCAGCAGCAGCAGCAAAGACATTTATTTACGTGAAACGTTGTTTGCAGAGTTATCTTTTCATTATTAAAGTGTGCGTCATCCTAAAAAATAAGATCTGCACCACAGAAGTCATGTGAAAGGCGAAACCAGGTTGGGATGGTGTGGGACTGAGGGGGACACTTAATTCAGAAATCAGATCCAGAAGTGAGAAGGTGAGGTAATAAGAACCTGGTGTGTGCAACAGTGCTAAAATGAAAGAGAACAAATAACAGGAACCCGGAGAATTTGAGAACATAAAGAAGCATAGAAACCGTGAATTATGAAGAGAAACATGTACAAACTGGAAAGGATGCTGGAAAGGAGCTGTAGGTGACAAAGTGATTTGATTGAACTTTCGATACAAAGTATCTTTTCACTAGTGAACTCAAGATGGATCGCAGCAGCCCTGGAGGTTTATGCTTAGGCTGAAGCCTAGGGGATACCTCCAGTTTCCTTCTCAAAGTAAAACGTTTGCCTAGCAGTTGATCCGATTTTAATTTCCCTGGATTTAACTTAGGACCTTCTTTTGGAAGATTAGCACGCAAAACATGATATTTGTCATATTTTTTTTTTCCTTCCGTGAGCTCTAAGTTTTGAAATAGTTAACGTTTGACTTCTGTTTATTTTGAAGATTGCATCTGGGGACAACAGTTTGACATGTGATGACTGTCTGTCTGTTTGATAGCGGTGCTAAACGTGGCCTTTATTTCAAAACAGCTTTGCTTTGTCTAGTGTGTCTGACGGGAGGGCGGAGGAGGGATACTATTGGAGAGTAGTTGATTTTTAAGAAACATTTATGAGCGGAACTGAGAAGTCCTAAGATCTGACTTCTCACTCTGCTTGTAAGTTTTTCACTGCAAGACTTAAAAGTTTAGGGATGTTTTTGCCAGTGGATTTGGTGTCCGGGTGACTGGTTAAAAAAAAGGGAAGGGGCATGATTCTTACCTGAAAACAAAGTATGTTAAAAGTAAGAATTAAGAGTGAAATAACACAGACCTGAACTGTGCAATCACTCAGTATTTAATGGGTGCCATGAAGTACCCAGAAGAAGCCATTGTTATGTTAATGCAGCACCTGACATACTGTTCCTATTTCATAGGCAAAGTACTAGCTCTGTGATTAGATCAAATTCCCCAACAACAACATCTCAGATTATGGCAAGAAAGAAAAGGAGAGGGGTATGTGATTTTTTTTTCCCTTTTATTTCATGTAGTCCAGCCTAATGTGTAACAGTTGTATTCTAACATTAGGAGTAATTTTATCATTTGTGTCTTCATAAACTTTTGTTGTCGTTTTGCTTCCTTTGGGATAGATAATAGAGAAAAGGCGGCGAGATCGGATAAATAACAGTTTATCTGAGTTGAGACGACTGGTGCCAACTGCTTTTGAAAAACAAGTAAGCTACCCTCACCCCTAACCACCCCACCAAAAGGCTCAAAAAATCTGATTCTCTCATCTGGGAATGTGGGTTCTTGTTAAAGCTCATTAAAATAATGGTGTATGTGCCCTGATCTGGCACAGAGCAGCTATTTCAATAAAATGCTTTGTTGTGGCAAAACTATTAAAAACATAATCCATCATGAAGTTGAAAAACATTTCCATTCTTCAGCTTATTTTTCCCTTAAGGGTAACAGTGTTCATGCTTTCTCTGTTCTTTCTATGAAGACCAGTAGTGGTTTTGTTTAAAACTGAGCTGTACGTCGTACTGTTTAAAAAATATATCCTGTGAAATTTCATTTTTGTGTCAAACGGTTAAAAAAAAACTGCTTTTGATTTTAAACATAACCAAAGTCCAGGAAGTAACATCTCTAGCTCTATTTCCTAAATGATAATACTAATACGAGGTTTTAGTTTTAGTTTTGTTTTGTTTTACAAAATCACTTGGTTTCATTTTTAATTCCTGGATTAATAGAATGCTATTCCACTCGGGAATACCATTTTCTTTTGGAAGTTTGGTAAAAATAAAACTAGCCATAAATTTCCTTTTTCAGAATTCAAGGTATTCCTTTGCCAAAAAAAAAAAAAAGAAAAAGATTTTGCACACTTAGAAGAGGAAGAAGCCAAGTGTTTAAATCTTCCTCTGTCGTTTTGGAAAAGTTTTGTATCTCTTGCCACAATGGCACAGATTTCTAAGAGCATCTTTCAAAGACTGGCATCATATGCCATTGAAAATACTTTCAATTTAATTCAAATAGGGTAGTTGTTTGTTTATTTCATTTCATTGTTTACTTCATGAACCACAAACATACAGCAAGCCCTACAAAGCCCTTGGAAATTATCCAGAAACTGCAATTTTGTGATTAGGCACTTTCACTGAAACTACTATACATCTTCATGGAAATATTGAAAATTGACAGAAGTACAAGATGTACTATGCTCTTGATTATACATTTTTGAGAGAAAAAAGACACCTATATGCTACAGCTGACTTTAGTGCTAAATGTAACGCGGAATTTGTAGTTTTGATTAGTAGCATTTTTAATGACAATAGGCTGAAAATGAAAATATCAGAACAAATCAGTGTTTTCACTTTGAGGACTGGGATGCATGCAGTTTTGAAGAACAGTCAGTTTGGTGATTTTCCCCCCCTTAGTTTGTTAGGTTTTTTTTTTTTTTTTTTTTTTTTCTTAAATGTCGACTTAAAACAAACCTTAAAAGCAAACCTCAGTTGTTTGGCAGTTAGTTACCATAAACACTGGCTTTCCCATTTGCCAAGCTTGGCTACCAACCCTAGTGAGCTGGCCCTGTCACAGTATGATTAGAAGAGTGTTCTTTCTAGCAGTTTAAATAACTCTGGCACTCTCACCATGTACAGGGTGCTGATAATTTTCACAAACCAAGTAGAGCATAGGAACCTGAAAAAAACTTCAGTTTCCTTTTCAAAAAGACATATTGATTTAATTATTTGGCTTTTCCAAGAAATTAGAAGCCACCCACAGTCCTCTGAGGCAGTTCAAGGTGGCACATTTGTATTTTAGTTGGTTTCCAGAGATTGCCTTATTTTAAAAAGTAGGACATGTAGATCTATTTCCAAGACATTAAGAACTATTTTTAAAGAGTTCAAATATCTTTAAGCACTTCTGATGCTTACTAGATAGGTAGTAAATTATGCTTTCTTGTTTATGATCTTGGAATTTACAGTGACACCTGCTGGTAATTTTTGGGAAAAAAAAAAAACAACCCTTAAAAGACTTCCCTTTTTTATTTTTGTGTCTGCTTACCAGCGGTGTGCCTTAAAGACTTATTAGAACTTTTTATTTTTGAAGAAATCTAATTTGCAAAGGTCCTGTTTCCTTATCCTTCAGAGTCAGAGTCAACTGATCTAGACTGCAACATTATATAAGACTATTGGAAGTCCTTAATGAAATACAGGATAGAGATTAGATGTAAGGTTTGAGATTTTTGCAAATGTCAAGAATCGTTTCAGCATAGTGATCTTAGGAATATAATTATTCTTATGATTAAAAATTTATTTCTTAGGCCTTTTCATCTTTAAAAGATAAATTGGCAAATATCTGTCATTGGGCGTGACATAGTAATTATCGTTTACACGTAAAGTTTGCAAAGAACTCAGATGTTTCTGTGAAAAACAATTAAACTTCGAATTTTCTCGTGAGAAGAAAAACTGAGAATCCAGCGTAAAATGTTCCAAATCAGTTTCCATAGAACTTCTAAGAATTTATTATTTGTTTATGCAGGGATCTGCAAAGTTAGAGAAAGCTGAAATACTGCAAATGACGGTAGATCATTTGAAGATGCTTCAGGCAACTGGGGGTAAAGGTAAGTAGGTGACTTCATTTTTACCCCCTTTCCACCTTTCTCTTTTCATCCCCGCCCCCCCAAGAGTATAGGAAAGTCATAGTTGAACAGTTCTTTAACAAGCTGAGATAGGAGGTCCCAGATTAAAGCTGTGGAAATCAATGCTAATGGCAGGATTGAACTCGTGGGAAAGAACTTCTGGAACAAAAGAAGCACTTGACCCTGGGCTTGTGTTTGCTTTCATAATACTGTGGGAGTAAAGCTTCATTCACAGCAGCCTGGTCACAGATTTGTTTGGGACCTCAGAAGCACATGCTGGAATCTGTACAGAAAGACAAAACAAACACACAAACATCCAAACATAAACAGGAGGTTAAAGGCAATCTTTTTCTCTTCTTCTTTCCCTTCCCCCGAAACACCCCTCCCCTCCTTAAATCAAGACTAGGACTCAACATAATGCAGCTATTCCAGAGGAATTGACTTCAAAATTATTTTCATATTTTGGTCGGTCTCGAGTTGATACCAGACAGAGCAGTTGAAGTGTGGGTAGTGAATCTCTGTAACTGCAAACTATTAATGGAGTGGAGTCATTCCTGCAGAGGGTAAACAGGAACGGGTACCCTGGGCCTGGTGGCCTGGAGAGATGTCTTCTGTACTAGAGAGTGATTTAGGAAAGAATCATCCAGAAGTCAGAGATGGACCCTCCTGTCATGTTAAAAATAGTCTTGAGATCCTGAAAGCTGTAATATTCATTCAGATTCAGATGTGATCCGTCTTCTCACACATTACTCAGACTTGAGTACCTTTCCACCTGTCAAGCAGGCCTTTGTGTTCACCTTAACCAAGAGTGTTTTGTTATTTAAGGTATTTGACAGCTGGGTAGGCAGAGGGTACCACCACCACCAGGGGCTGAGTGCTGCCCTCCACCATGGCAGCTTCTCCGCTCAGGATTAGCCTTTCATGACGTCCTATCACAGCATGCCCTACATTGGAGTAGGGGCAAGACTTTGGAGGGAAATAGCCATTTACCAACTGCTGTGGAAGTCCTTCAGGATTTAAGTACAGCATGGCCATATAGCCGAGGACCTGTGGAACACAGCCCTGGCCTTCCTTCACAGTCTTTTTAACTGTATGAGGAGGGGGATGTGGTCGCTGTAAAGAGAAGCCCTCATGGTTTGACTTAACCTCAATTGCACCTTCTCTAGAAACCATCCTAAATGGGTATGGAATTGTATTTCTAAGCATTAAGATCCTCAGCATAGGATGCTAAAACTCTTACATCACAGAGAAGAGAACTGGATGAAATCGTAGAAACCAGTGATCCATCCAGCTCAGTGGCCACTGCCTCACCTCTAACCCAAGACAGAAGTGCTCTGCTGCACTGTGAGGCCTGCACTGCATTCGTTCTGAGCTCTAAAGCCCCTCCAGCCCTGTGATTCTGTCCCTGCACCTGCCACCTCAGGAGTGTAGGAGACTGAGTCAGTGATGGTGCAGAAACAGCAGTTCTATTGCTCTGCCTCTCTCAGTGATGTCCACCACAAGGCTAAGAATTCTTATCAGGGCTTCAAATATTTGGCATGAACTATACTTCTAAAGCGTAATATTGTTCTTACTCCTTATTATAAAAACTAAGTTCCATTCTTGATTGCTATTCTTGGCTACCTGAACGGTCCTAAAATTCATCCCAGAATAGTTTGTGAACAGACATTACCAAGCAAGTTCCATACAAGTCTCCTGGCTGCCAAGGCATTAGAGAGGTCATCCACAGGAGAAAGTGTGGGCCTTGAAGAGGAGGGGCTGGCAATGTGAGCTCACATCATCCAAGACTCACAAGTGCTGCAGGGGCCTCACGGTGTAGTGGTGGAGGGCACAGACTCTGCAGTCCGGATGCCTGGTTTCAAATCCCAGCTCTGCGTATATTAGCCCTGTGACCCAGGGTACAGTCCTTACCCCCTTGGAGCCCCCGTTTCCTCATCTGTACAATGAGGACAGTGATAGTGCCTGCCTCACAAGGTGGTTGTGAGTTTATTCACTGAAAGCCATACAGCAGTGATGGCACAGGGAAGTGATATGGACGACCGGGATGCTTTTATTATTGGCCCAAGATTATTCCCAAGAGACAGCTGCTCATAGTCATTTCCCTCTGTGTTCGGCAATAGAATAGAAATTGCACAATTTATATTCCTTAATACACAACAGAGAACTCAGCCCTATATAACAACATACAGCTGGCCGACCACAAATTTCAATCACTTTGTGCCCACTCATGAAAATTCTTAGAAGCCCCCCGGGGTTCCAATTCTGTTGGTTCATTCTTTACTGTCCGTCTTGGTATTGCAGTAGCTTCTAGAGAGGATTTAGAAGAGTAACTTAAATATCTAGATCCCTCTGTGTTCTAGACTGTCTTCTGTTCATCGCATCCCTCCTTCTCTCATGAAAATTAGAAGCTTGAAAAGCCCAACAAAGAACCCTGAGGGTTCTCCTGTGAAACCTTTCTTCCGGGAGAAGCTTTCCCTCTTAATCCCAGGGACCCTGTTGCTAACTAAGCCGAAGTCCTGGGATGATAACTAGGTTTGCTGCTGATCTTCCACGTTTCATGATATTCTCTTATATCAGCTTTGTGCTGTTGTTGCCACTGTTTTAATGGTGTGTATTTTTGCCCCAACTGTCTTTTTTGGCACTTCCAGATTTCTGTTGATATTCTAGCTTTGGGAGTTTGAATATTGTGACCACCATTTCTCAAATGCTTTGGTCACAGAATAAGATGGTTTAAGTTTTAGCAGATGATAAATGAAACAGGTAATACTTTGATCAGCAGAAACATGAAAAAGATAATGTAGTAAATGCCTTAGGTAAAAATAACTGAATGTAAGATTTCTCATTTGTACATACACCCATATCCCAAAACTGAGTTTTTAATTTGGAAGTCACTAAAAAAAAAAAAAAAAATGTTGCAAATGGGAAAGAATCTGAAAAGGATACATTTATGCACATTAGAGGTCACTCATTCCAAGTGGTGCCATTTCCCCAAGTGTCTGATTAGTATTCTACTCTGAATTGGCACTGGTAATAATGGCACATCACTATTTTCTATCTATTTTACCCTTTGGATAAAAAGGGATTCTCGTAAATAAGACTCCGTTCCAGCCATTTTTAGGGTAGCAACCTTAGGTGTGGAGTTTGCATGCATATACACCGAAAAATCAATACACATTTTTTCCCTCTAGGGTGGATGCCAGGAAAATAGAAGTTAGCCAGTGAGGGAGGTGGATGCTTGAATCTCAGGAAAGCGAGGAGCTGTAGGAATCTCGTATCCGTCCAGCAGGCTATATTGCCTGAACAGAAAAATGGGATCTTCAGATGAGCAAACCGTCCCCTACAATGTTCATTTTCATCAGATTTTTTTTTTCATACAGAGTAAATGACAGGCGGTTTTCCCTTTGATCGAGGTCATGAGTCAAGAAGGACTGATGGATTTATTCAGAGATTCTAGCACATGTTTTTCAATTTATTTATGATGGGGGGGGGCAGAGACACAGGCAGAGGGAGAAGCAGGCTCCATGCAGGAAGCCCGATGGGAGACTCATCCCGGGTCTCCAGGATCACGCCCTGGGCTGAAGGCGGCGCTAAACCGCTGCGCCACCCAGGGATCCCCAGATTCTAGCACATTTTTTTAAAAAAGTCCTCCACTGCACGTCTCTGTCAGCCAGGCCAAGAGGGAGAATGCTCGAGATGCACCCTCTCCTCCCCAGCGCGGGGCCCCTGCAGTTCCTGGGGAGCCTCCCTGTCCGGCAGCAGAGAAGGCGAGGACCGTCCCACCCCCATCCCCGCCCCCGCCCCCGCCCCCGTGTATTTGCGCGGAGCTGGTGCACCTGGGGGCTCCGGCCGGGCCGCCGGGGAGCAGGCGGCGCTGTGCCTGGCGCGCACGCGCACTGCAGCCTGGCCGTGCGCCTCCCGCGGGCAGCGCGCACCTGCGGCCGCTCCCGCGGGGCTCGTTCCGGGATGCGGGGCGGGGCGGGGCGGGGGGCCTCGCGGTGACACCCCGGCTCTCCCGCCCCCCCCCCCCCAGGCTACTTCGACGCGCACGCCCTGGCGCTGGACTTCATGAGCATCGGCTTCCGGGAGTGCCTGGGCGAGGTGGCGCGCTACCTGAGCTCCGTGGAGGGCCTGGACTCCTCCGACCCGCTGCGGGCGCGCCTCGTGTCGCACCTGAGCACCTGCGCCTCGCAGCGGGAGGCGGCGGCCGTGACGTCGTCGCTGGCGCCCCGCCCCCCGCCGCCGCCGCAGCCCTGGGCCGCCGCGCTGCCGCCGCTGCCCGCGCTGCTGCCGCCCGGCCTGCCGGCGCCCGACGGGCCCGCGCCGCTGCTCGCCGCCTTCGCGCACGCCGACTCGGCGCTGCGGCTGCCCGCGGGGGCGGGGGGGGCCGCGGCCGCCTGCGCGCCGCTGCTGTCGCTGTCGGCCACCGTGCACGCGGCCGCCGCCGCCGCCACCGCCGCGGCGCACAGCCTGCCCCTGTCCTTCGCGGGCGCCTTCCCGGGGCTGCCCCCGAGCGCCGCGGCGGCCGTGGCGGCCGCCACCATCAGCCCGCCCTTGGCCGTGGCGGCGGCGGCGGGCCCGCAGCCCGCGGGCGGGGGGGCGGGCGGCAAACCCTACCGGCCCTGGGGGACCGAGGTGGGAGCCTTCTAGGCGGCCGTGGGAGGCGCAGACCCCCCCCCCCGGGAGGTGGGCTGCTACCTGTTTGTCCCTTTGTTTGCTTCTCTCTCTCTCTCGTCTCGTTCAAGGCAGCTTGGGTCACTGACCTCAGCCACTTTCTGAGAACCCCGCACTGGTCGCCTGTGTAGACGTTTTCCTGGAAAATGCATGCACTGTACCATCCAGCAGGGCGTCAGAAGGTGTGAATTGGGGAAGAAAAACAACAACACACACACACACACAAAGAAGGCAGCTTGGGTCACTGACCTCAGCCACTTTCTGAGAACCCCGCACTGGTCGCCTATGTAGACGTTTTCCTGGAAAATGCATGGACTGTACCATCCAGCAGTGCGTCAGAAGGTGTGAATTGGGGAAGAAAAACAACACACACACACAAAAAGAATGCAGCTTGGGTCACTGACCTCAGCCACTTTGTGAGAACTCAGCACTGGTCGCCTATGTAGATGTTTTCCTGGAAAATGCATGGACTGTACCATCCAGCAGTGCGTCAGAAGGTGTGAATTAGGGAAAAAAAAACAAAACACACACAAAAGCCAAAAAAAAAGGCAGCAGCCTGGGTCACTGACCTCAGCCACTTTCTGAGAAGTCCACATTGGTCTCCTATGTAGACGTTTTCCTGGAAAATGTATGCACTGTACCATCCAGCAGGGCGTCAGAAGGTGTGAATTGGGGAAAAAAACAACACACAAAAACACAAAAAAAAGAAGGCAGCCTGGGTCACTGACCTCAGCAACTTTCTGAGAACTCGGCACTGGTCTTCTATGTTGACGTTTCCTGGAAAAATACGTGGACTGTACCATCCAGCAGTGCGTCAGAAGGTGTGAATTGGGGAAGAAAAACAAACGCAAGCAACAACACCACCAAAAAAAAAAAAAAAAAAAAAAAGCCCTGACTGGATTCTCTCGACACTAGATGGAAAAGCATATGCGTGTCTCATAAGTGCCTGAGCTAGTAAAAGTCTTCTTCTGAATTAGCTGACGTTGCACAAGTAAAGAAGAGCGTAGAGGTGAGGGTAAGAAAGGAAAGCTACCGAAGGCTTGCATTAGGCTGCAGACGTTTTAATAAAGTGCCAGAAAAGAGTACTCTGTTGAAACCAACAGGTTTTTATTGGCCAAAAGGATTGCTGAAAATAATTTTCAAGTTGAAAAAAAACTAGTTTTACCCTTAGTTGGCTTTTTTTGTACAGACTTGCCTGCCAAGTGGCGACATTTTGCAATGCATTGGTATAAGCAATTATTCCATCATTGCTCGGATTAAGCACCATTGCTGCCCTGCCTGCAAGCGTCCCCACCCCCACCCACCCCCCGCCCCGGGGGCACTATTTTTTATGGCTCAAAATATGGTGCCTCTTTATGTAAACCATACGTGTAGAGAGTGCACCTGAGAGCGTTGCCTACCGTGTGCCCACCTGAAGCTATTTGATTCAGGCCAACTTGAAAATTCTCCAGTTTGTAAAAGTTTAATTTATTGTTTCATTTGGACTATTTTTACATATTTATCCTCTTCATTTTGTCCTGATAATGTGTAATATCTATTCTTGTCACCCTTTGGGAAAGGTTGCATTTCTGGAGGTGATAAGACAGGGAGAGAGCATTGGGAAGAGAAAAGCCACGATTTTTAAATGCTCTTTGTCAAGCTCATGATTGCATTTGATCCCAAATCAAGGTGAATGTATACAATGGGATGTACATAAATTATTTTTGTTCATGCCTAGACTAGTGCTACATAGTGGTGTTTTTCTTTTTTATTTTGTTTAATGACAAAATAATCTCTTAATGCATTGAAATTGAGCACGTGAGATTTTATGTTTGAAAGATAAAGACACAGCATGTATAATTATGCACTTCATTTCTCTGCTGTGTGGAGAAAGCAATAAACATTATGAGAATGTTAAACATTATGCAAAATTATACTTTTTTAAATATTTGTTTTAAAATTATTGTACCTAGTCTTTTTTGCATTACTTTGTAACCTTTTTTCTATGCAAAAGTCTACATATCACTAATTAAATGAAGTCCTTTTTGACTATTTTTATGTGGATGAGTTGCTTTGCAGAATGGAAAGTTGACATGGATTTCAAGCAAGGCCTTCCTTCACTAACAACTTAAGCCGTGGCTTTTCTTTTTCTCTTTCAGAGTCATTTAATATAATTCACAGCTTGCCTGAAAATAACATTTATCTGAGCTTGTAAATCAATTAAGCATAGGCGGGTATGACGTTATTTGGAGACAGGAAGTGATCAGTTTCCTCTGCCTTTTATTCTCAACCATGTTCTTGGAAGAAAAGTGCAAATACAAGAACTCCAAATAATAGTAAACTGAACCTAGGATAATAAGCTAGAATGTGTCATACATTTTATAACTCAAAAATGTTTGTAGAGGGTTTTTAAAACATCACATGCATACGTGATTAAGCATATACATGCTTCCTGATGGTAAATCCTCTGTACCTACCTCAATGAAACTTTTTTTTGATGCTGTAGAAATTATGCACATATCTCTCCTTCTTTGATGAAGCCTAGAAGAGATTATTTCAGTTCCTGAAGCTATTGGGCCAAACATGAAAAAAGAATTAAAAAAAAAAAGGAATGTTTTTATTCATATCAATTATGCTCACAGTTAAAGGAAAAAGTACAAGGTGTCTTACATTATTGTAGTTTTGAAAAATTAAGTATATAGTTTTTCTAATTTTTGTCTGTAAGTGGATTAAAAAAAAATGAGCAAAACCAGATCGCTTTGTTTCTCCTGTCTGTAAGTTCTGTGGTTATTGTATCTTCAATTAACTCTGATGGAATTAGGTAGTAAATAAGAAAATGGATTCAGTAATATTTGAAGTTTGCTTTTTAATCATGATTTGTGGACAATGGGCATGGAAATAATTCTTATTTTAAGATCTAATAGCTGATTCTGTGCCTCTTGTAATGTCAGCATTCAAAGCATTTCCTTTCCTTTTTTGGAATGTAAACCATTTTAGAGATCAGGAATTTTTATTTTTAATTTTGATTAAATATTTTAAGATAAATCCTCTTCCTCCTTTCCTCCCTTTCTTGTCCTCTTTTTTTTCTTCTATGTGTTTCCTTCCCAGGTACATATGGCTTGTTATTTTTCCAATTAAATGATTAAAATATTTGCAAAACAACTTGCCACGTAGTTGCTAAGGGTTGTCGTAGTTCTGAAAGATAATCGTTGTCTGTAATTTTGGTCATGGGAAGTTAATTGGTTCTTGATAAATGTTTCATATCATCAGCTACTAACATCACATTTCACTGTGTCAAAAAACAAAATTCAACTAAGTAAATTAAAAGATCAAATTGGCTTTAGTCAACAGCTCATGAATTGGGCAGTTGGGCAGCATCCCATCTAGCAAATAGAAAGGAGCTTGAAGAAGCTGTACAAAATGAAAGGCTTTTATAGGCAGAAGGGAGCTGAAAAAGGAAGTCTGTAACAAAGAGTATTGTTTCCGGCAAGGTCACCTTCTTTTGGGGGAAGGGGCGGGGATCTGTCATGCAGATGACCTCACTGGTAGTGATCGGTTATTTCCAGATTGGTTAAAGGTCAGATATTAAGTCTTGTTTTGCTGATGAGGGGCTTGCACAGGGGACTCCATTTTTGGCCTGTTGTTTCTTTTTAACAACTGTTTCCCATCTTGAATTCAATGTTTTGTGAAAGTGGTGTTCCACCTTTAGAGGTGGTAATTTTCATGTTTGCTCCCAAAATAGAAAAAAATTAGTTTCTATGGTCCAAGGGGAAAAGGACTTCTACTAAGTTTAATGTATTGGTGGCTTTTATTTATGCAAAAATTAGTTCCAAAATTAACTCAAGGGATTTTTGGTAGGATTAAAGGAAAAAGGTGACATTTTTTTGAAATTTGGTTTTCCCCAAAAGTTAAAGGCTATATGCATACCTAAAGGTTAAAAACAAAAAAACCAAAACAAAACAAAAAAAACAATTTAGTTGATACGAACAAATTTTATGTAATATCTTATAAAGCAGTCTCCTTTTAGAGAACTGCAAAATGGGGCAGAAGGCTGGGAGATTTTCTAGAATAAAGAACAAGGAAGAGAAAAATGGAAAAAAATCTGATTGGCAGGTTATACAATCAACCTCGTTTAGGATGAGAAGGCTCAGAGTTGGCTTGGCATTGGGGGATTGGCTAACTGGATATACTGCATTTGTGGTCAAGTGGAACATTCACAGGGACTCAAAATTTACCTGAAGTTCCATTTACTGATGCACCACCTGGGCAGGAGTGGCTCCATCTTGGGCCTCGAAATGTATTTCTTTTTTTTTTTTTTAAGGTGTTATTTATTTATTCATGAGAGATGCAGAGCAGGAGAGAAGCAGGCTCCATGCAGGGAGCCCGACATGGGACTCGATTCTGGGTCTCCCAAGATCACACCCCAGGCTAAAGGCGGCACTAAACCACTAAGCCACCAGGGCTGCCCCTCGAAATGTATTTCAACACCAACTAAAACATAGTTCTGTATTTCACATCAGTGAGCCAAAAGGTATTTATTGAATGACTACTGTGTGCAGCAATGTGTGTACAAGTTGTTCCGAATGGCAGGTAGTAGCACGTGCAAATGTGCTTCTGTAGCCTGACAATGACAGATACAGCTGTCACTCTAGCTATTCACAAGGATCCTCAAAAGAAGGAGGTGCCATGAGAGTGAGACAAGGGGTTTCTGACAACTAGCTGGAGAGGCCTGTTGTTCTTTTTGGGATCTTTTGCTATTACAAATATGATAATCCTATCATTTGAACAAATCTGAGGGACTTTTAAATTAAGTTGAAAATTTAAAAAGGCCAAATAGTAGCTAGAGTGATGGCACTAATGATATATGTATTATAAATCTTAATAAAGCCTTTTGGATTATCTTCTTTATATAATCAACTTGTTCCTTTTTAATCATTACATGAATTCAGAGTAAGAGCAATCACCTTAGGTCATCATCACAAGCAATTTCCCTAAGTGTAAGACTCCATCAGTAACAAGATACACTATTGGTTTAAGGTCAGTTTTTAAGGAAAAGAACCACAACAGAACTTTACCCGTCGATCATAAGACATCCCAATTTCCAGAATGTAAAAATGAAAGAAAAAAAAAGGTACATCTTGGATTTGAGGCAATACCATAGCATAATAACGTACTTTGACACAATTTTAAAAATCCATGGCTAGAGATGTACACTGATTAAAATGTGGCTGATTTAGCTTACTTTAAAAATATCTCATCAGGATAGGGCCCTAGTCTACTTAATAATCTGGATTGGCTTTGTAAGCCTAATGATCTAAAGATAGATATATTTTTGAAGCTTTTCATGTTTTTATTGCCCAATAGGGCCATTCTCAGTTCTGCATTTTACTGAAGAATGGAATTTGACTTCCCCTTGTAATTCTTTTAAGATCTAAGCAATAACTGAGGTTGTGAATATTTCAGCAACTAAGACAAAGCACTACAACAAATATGACATCATAAACTGTGACTATAGCTCATATTCTTTGGAAGGATAAGTCTTTGAACTCAGATGGGAGAATTTAAAAAGAAAAAAAAAGCCCCTTAACTTACATCCACGGTCTTGTAAGAGGGGCCAGAGGCATATGAGAAGAGGTTCCTTAGGTACCAGGTGGTACCTTCTCCCTCAGTTTCAACTTTAGAGAAAAGGCAGGAAACGGGTCCTCTGCTATAACTGACATAACCAGTACCACCTAAGGCTCAGGTCTAATAAAGAAAACATGTTAATACTTAATGGCAAGTGTTGTTCAGGTGTCTGTGCTAAGTTCTGTGCTAGGGGTTTGAAATCTGTTGTTATTATCTTTGTTTTGCATATTGGAGAATAAGAGGTTCATTGCCAAAGGTCACACTAGCAGTTTGAGCTATGACTCAACCCAGGCCTGTCTGATTCTTCAGCCCATACCTTGAACCTCGAGGCTATGGCTTTTGAGACTGCTTTTCCAGACTCAGACTAACCAAGAATATTTCAACCTGCCTGGAATCACTTTGAATTATTGACAGGAGTAAGTCTGTCTACTGTATAAGCATGAAAACCTCCACCATCTTACCCTTTTAACATAGCAAAGGATTAAAAAAAAAATGACCCCACTTTATTCCATCATACAGCATAAAAAGAAATCGTTTTTGGCACTTTCCCAGTTTTGACTTGTAACTCTCAAGCAGGTCATAAGAACTTTACCTTAATCAGTGAACTTGACCCTCAGTGGCTACCAAAGAATATTCAAGGTGATTGGCAAAGGCGAAGCAACATGGTGAAAAACTAAATGAGGTGTCTCAGGGGCTCCTTGGCTGGCTCAGTAGGAAGAGTGTGCAACTCTTGATCTTGGGGCTTGTGTGTTCAAGCCCCAGGTTGGGTGTAGAGATTACTTAAATTAAAAAAAAAAAAAGTATCTGAGTTAGTTGAGTTTGAAAAGAAAAGAAAAACCCCAATCTCTCACTGTATGTAAAAGATAAGAGGTCGTGGCATGGCATGGAGGGGGACAAGGAAAATGCTGGATCATTCTGAATACTTCTACATCCCAGGTCCATCATGTCATAAAACAACACTCGTCATAGAAAGACTCGCCCAGTAACCCATCAACAGTACCGATTCTTACTACCAGGAAGGGATTTTGAACTAGCCTAAATGCTTTGGCCTACAGGGAAGCATGCTTTTCCAGAGCAATTTACAGTTTATATGTGTATAGTTTTTAAAGAATCTTATAACCAGAGGCATTTTTATATGCCTCTAAGTTCTTAGTCTTCTGAGAACTGAATATTCTGTTTCCTTGACCTTAGTTATCATTCTGTTACTGTGGGAATGAAGAGATTCATGCATATGAAATGGATATGCATGTAATAGAATGCCTCCTAAGGTTTCTTGTTTTGTTTTTCTTAAGGGAGAGAAAGAGGTTGAATATCTTTGGCAAGTTAACCCTCAAGCTTCTTGCAGTAAGTGTGCACTGTGATAGTTTTGTGTTTTCGCCACAGTGATAACAAAGTCACGTTTTCTCATGTGAAGAAACAGTATTTTGGGAAGAATGGCTATTATTCGTAATGTCTCACGTGTACGAGTGGGGTGATAAGTTTTAAATTGCTCAGAAAACAACTGAAACTCCTAAAACAACTGAGTATTTTAACTGAGTTAACCCCTCCGTTTGTGATTATAAGCTATCAAGCTGAATATCATTTACCATACTGTGAAACCCTGCTTCCTCGATCTTTCATCACTTCTTTTTAAAACTTTTTCCCTTAATTACAGAGAACGTAAAGACTTTTTTTTTTTTTTTTTTTACCCAAACAATCCAACTAGCACTTTGTGTGGCTGTTTGTGTAGACTTCCTCAATGGTTGGCCCCTTCCCTGTCCTGCTCTTCCAAGTCTGCCCCAGTACGCCTGCTTTAAATAGGCTTCCCCTGGAGTCTGGCAAGATGACAGAGATGTGCTCACGAGAGTCAGGAGGGCAAAACACAGGGCACTCAGACCATATTTTACTCTTGTCGTAACACATTTCTGTGTCACAGTCACACGCCACCTCCTAAATGAGAACTCAGACAGCCACGTGTTTGTGTCTCACAAGCAGCCACTGCTAGATTCATCTTATTGTCTTGGCATCTCTCTCTCAGAAAGATAAGCACAGCCCAGGACAAATGGCCAAGTGTCAAGCAGCGTCAAAGCCACAGATAGTCTGGTGTCCATCAGATGAGGGTACGGCCTAGCTCGGGAGGCAAGCATTGCCTTTGATGACAAACATCCTTTGCTACTACAGTAAGGATGGTAAATTGGTGGGGCCATTGTGCTCCCTTTCAAGATTCAGTGAGCATCTTCACCCCAAAGATACCCGTAAGTCCATCACAGCTGAATCAGTGAGCAGACTTAAGGCAAGTGTGTTGCACGGAGGGAACAGCTGTAAACATCAAGTGCCTCCTGGCCATGACCCTCATAGAAACAGGTCCCAGCAATGAACCGATGAACTATCTGACCAACGCTGACCAGTTCTCACAACAGAGAACACAATTCTTTGATGTGACCCTCAAACCTCAAGCATGCCCAGAGCGGGAGCTACAGACAACATAACTCAATATAAATGCATTTAGTCACTTCTTTCCAAATGACAAGGTCCGGCAGGCAGCTTCCTTGCTCTGGGCATCAGAAGCTTGAGATGAAAAGAGAAAATTCACCATTGTTTGTCATCAGGATATGACACAGCAAGAAAAGTGATGGAAAAGCTATTTGTCTAATTGTTCCTTTAAAACGTATAGCTTAGGAGTTAAAATGGTCAAAAAACCCTCTGAGTGGATCCTTTACCGATACAGCAAAAACATACTAACAAGGAGATGGTTTGCTTAATAAGTGTAGCTTCATAGCCTTATCCAGGAGAGTGCATGTTTAATTCATCAAATCAAGTCTATTAAGCCGTTTTGTTTGTTTTAAGATGTGGGAGCTTATTGAAATTCTTGGTACTCATTCAACAGATCACTTACAAATACCTTGAAATCCATATTTATAATTCTCTATTTTATTCAATATAGATGCCACTTTTAAAAATCTCAACTCTTCAAGAAATGTAATAAATAGTATGACTATAAGGACAAGTTCTGAAATCAGACACATCAAGACACATCCTGAGATGCTTTAACTGTGAGAGTTTACACGTATTACTGAATCTGTGTAAGCTTTGCTTTTTAATTAGTAAAATAGGATAAAAAAAGAAGAGCTATCTCACAAGAATTTTCTGAGGATTAAGTAGGATACTGTTCATAAGATCTGGTATGTAGTATACTACCAATCAATGGTAGTGTAGCTTATTCAAATTTAGTTTATTAAAAATGTCTTAAGACCCAAAATAAGTCTCCTTCAATCCCATTCACACACCTTTATTCAAATACATACCACGGTACTTCCCCAATACCTGTTCTCTCTAACGCTACATTATTTGCATGTACATTTTGCTTTACATAAATTTGCAGATTTACACAACTTCAGAGTTAGAAGAGCATAGTCTAGGCCAGTACTTCATTTTACGGATGAAGAAAACTGAGGCCCAGCCACATTAGATCATCTTTCCCACAGTCATGTGACCCCGATCTCCTGATTTCTAATATCTAGTTCTTTCCGAGACTACAATATAAACATTTTCTTTCATACCTTTTATATTTTAGATGCCAAGGCTTTTTATTTTGTTGTGGATGAGCTGCATAGGTTTATTGATTCGTTAAGAAATCATGCTTTATGTCTCCTTGTCTTCAAAAGGGATGGTTTTTAGACTGATTCAAAAATAAATACAATGGAGTCATGTTTCTTTAGTAGAAAGACCTTAAATCTAATGACTACAGCTGAGATGGAAATGATATTACCGTCTTTAAATGATGTCCTTCACCCTGAAAAAGCAAATCACACATACGTAGGTGAACAGAGTTGTGTCGCTCTCTAGCACCTAAGGCGGAATCTTTCCCAGACACTGGGGAAGCTGCAGATTTCCTGGCGACAGGGCGCGGGCACCAGGCCACTGCTGTACCCACTCTCCTCCCTGTGGCTCCCCCAGTGCTCTCCGTGTGAAGGCAACATCCTTTGCCTCCGGCTGCAGAGCCATCTGTCACCTGCCCCCTTCTCCTCACCCTGCCCCACCACCTGTGACTTGCCATCCAGCCATCCTGGCTTTCTTTCAATCCCCGGGTAGTCCATCTCCTTGCTCTCTCCTGCTACCAGCCCCTGCACATGTTCCTCCGACTTAGAAAGTTCTTTTCTCTCCTTCTTACCTAGGTTTGTT